AACTCTATATGTATGTATGTATGTGTGTACGTATGTATGTATGTATGTATATATGTATGTATGTATGTGATTATGAAATTTAAAGTTTCTCTTTAGTATGATACGCCGTTGAAGATAGTCTTGCATGACCTAAACAAATAATCACTAAAGCACTTATGTAGAATACTGCCTTCTGGGATATAACGCCGTGTATTCCGTTTGAAGTCAACCGAACTTTCGGAGGAACATATTGCCTCCACTTTTAGGGTGGTATAAGCCGAGCAAGATAGCAGCGTGAAAGCAGGTGGCAAGCCTAGGCGATATGGTCCTCCGAAACGTCAGTTGACTTTCAAAGGACTACACGTTATTATATACCACAAGATAGTACTCTTCATAACCACCGGTGCGAGAACTTCACATCCTACACGGATATACTTAAATGGTCATTTACATCGTATTTTAATATACAAGTAGATAGCAGAGCAGGACGCCCGTAATCCGAATTAACTGGCGACAAATCTTGTTCTGATGATTGGATTAAATTCTTATACACTAAAAACACTACAATAATGTACTGTACTATTATAGGAACCGGGGTAGCGTAGTCGGTACAGTGGGGTTCGAGTCTCGGTAGGGACAAGTACGAGGGTAAGTCAATAAGTAAGTTACAAATGGATATAGAACTCAAACAAATAAGAGTACTGATTTGAAAAATGTTTTTACTTCTCAACATAATCTCCCTGTACACTGAGGCACTTGTCCCATCGTTTCACAAGCCCCTGAAAACAAGCAGCATAAAATTCTTTGGGCGCGGCACTCATCGTGCGCAGACTTTGTGGAAACCTAACCTGTCATGCATTATGAGGTAGGCCATGCCGTGTGAACACGCCTGGTTCCNATCATAATGCATGACAGGTTAAGTTTTCACAAAATCTGTGCACGATGGGTGCCGCGCATGCTGACCCCACAACACAAATCAGTACTCTTATTTGTTTAAGTTCTATATCCATTTGTAACTTCCTTATTGACTTACCCTCGTACATTTTTTAAAAGGGTTCAATGTAATAAACAAATTTGCAAATGACAAAATTTGAACTGCTAAAATATGAANCTTTTGAAGCAGACGAAACCTGAAAAATTAGGAAATGTAATTATAAATTAATATTTTCAGGAACTTCATTCGAACAAGCCCCAAATTCTCGTCGTTCAGTGGGCGCTTTCCTTGGTTGCGGTGATTCGGTTTAAATGGTGATTAGGATAAACGGCGTTCTGCCGTATAACCGAGAGATGATTCCGAACCAAAACGCATGGGGCCACTTTAACTGACGGTGGAGCCCAGTTTCCGTGTGGGCAGGCCGCTGCAGAGGGCACATATCGGAACACCCAAGTTACATAAAGCAACTCGCATTGGTGCAGTGCTTAAGATAACGATATCGCAGCTACATAAGTTGTAAACAAATTCATTATCTCGACGTTGATAAGGATTGCATTTTTTTTTTGGAGATTTATTTCTGTACAAGATGCTTGTTGCTGACCCGTTCAGTCTGACATTTGACTGACCCCGGTCGGTGGATGGCTCTTTGTTAGTTCATCCTCGTGGTAGCTCATGACGCGCGGTGGTGAAGCTCTCGTCTTAACTAACGGCGCACGGAATGTACTTTAGCTTTACGTCCATGGACCCGACAGGATTCTGTTTTGTCCGTCCCGGGTGGAGGCCTGACAAACTTACGTTTAAGCCGTTTAAGATTACTTTTACTGATCGTCTTAAAATACTGAGGATAGAATATTATTTAATATACAGTAAATCCTCGATAATCCGGATTAAGCGATAATTTCGATTAATGAATCAAAAGTAGGCCCCAAAAGATTAAAAAAATTAAAAAAACAAATAAATGGAAAATTTAATAATATAGCTTGTGTCGAAAATAAATACACATCATTGCAGCAATTTCTTCCTTTGTCAGAAGCTGAAATCCAGGGTCTCCATCTATCTCAAGCCATTCTTGGATATATTCTTACGTGGTTTCAGTCTCTCCAGCTGCCCTTAACACAGTCTGAAAGTCCTCTTGCTCTAATCCCTCCTGCTCTTAAATCCCACGTGTCTTTAAAAGCATGTACTAAAATGCGAGAAGAATTTTTCATTTTTCGTATTTCGATCCGGATTAACTGTAACTGGATTATCGAGGGTTTACTGTATTTGTAATTCCTTGGTATTACTATTCGTCGTATTAGTTTCTTATTTTTCGAATTTGCTTTGGTAAAAGCCCATGGACTACAGATGCCTGACTTGTCCACCCCCACCAACGCCCATATACGTACGTACTCAACATGTAGTTTATAATATGACTACGTACACAGCCAGTTTCGTAGAGAAACTTGACATAACATAAAATATGCCCTTCGTGTTCGATAAAATGCTAATTCGGACACAGATATATGTATATATACCTCAGGTACAATATTTCAAACATGAAATAGTAAGTGAAACTCGTCAAACGACTGGAATATACTACATACCTACACTCATATCCGTGAGTGGCTGAAGTCGAACATCGGCCGGACAACGAATATCCTTACTAAGATTTTCCTCCCCCACAGGGAGGAGCCGGACTCCGACGGGTGGCAGTTCGAGTCCCGGTAGGGTCAATAATTTTCTCTTCTCCACGTCTTCCAGACCGGGGCTCTGGGGCCCACCCAGCCACCTGTCCAATGAGTAGCTAGGCCTGTTTCCCCCGGGGGTAAAGCAGCAGGGACGTCAAGCTGACCACTCAACTCCAACTACAGGCGAAGTCAAGAATATGTGGATCTATACATTCACTCCCCCATACGTCCTTATGACGTAGTGGTTAATTAGTTAAGGACAGCGACATTTTTACATTTTACCTTTTACCTTTTATTTACTTTCATACCGAAAAGAATACAAACAGTGAGGCCCTTACCTGGGTGTACATGCGTAGAAGCGAAATAATGGAGTGCATGATACAAGAATATTGAAGGTTGAAAAATCTAGCTGTAACCTTTCTTAAAAAAAGTCGAGCTGAAAATACAATGTGAACAAGACGAGAGAAGAGAGACAGTTAAGGAGCTCTTGGAATTATAAATGTACAAGGCTGAGACCAAGGAGAAGATGGAAAGAAAAAGGAACTCAGGCTCTCATAAGCCTCGTTACCCAAAAGATAAGCACAAAAGAAGTTACGTACTTTTTCAACTACAGAATAATTTTTATCTGAATTATGACTTTTGTATTGTATCCACTAAATGAGGTTATGGTCAAATTTGTAAGAAATGTTATGACGCAATTATAGGCTTGTGTTCTTACACCCCACGCTGACACTGCATAATTTACTGATACGATATGACAGTGTTTGTCAGATGGTGTTACGTGGACCACAGCCGGCCCGCAAATACAAGTAGTGTCATATGAGTATGACAAATGGAAAAATACTGTTTTACAAATAGCAGCTATTTTAAAATGCGGACTTTGTGTTATGACAAGATGTGATGTTGCAGGAGTTTGTATGCCCCGAAAAAAATGATTAGAATAACATCTATGAAGACGGGATGTAAGAAAATGTAGTATGAGCGAGGTACACACAATATTTTAGAGAGACAGCCTGTAGAAAAGAGACTACTAGGAAGATCTAGACACAGATGAGAGAATAGTATTAAAATGGAGTTTGAAAACGTAGGGTGGGAGCGCCTAGATTGGATTTATCTGGCTCGGTACAGAGATCGTTGAAGGGTTTAGTGAAAAAAAAATTGAAAATTTGAAACGTTTTTGGAAATAATGTTTTCGAAATCCACCCAAATTTTGAAATCAAAAGAGAAACTATTGAAACTTTAAAAAGTCTTATTTTTTTTCCAGAGTTTAAATATTTCAATATCTGATGAGAAATTTTGTGGGCATCAATGATTTGTAAATGCTTCAAAATGACAAGTCCAAATTTGATTTTCTGATGTATATGAGTGGGTGTGATGCGTCAATGTAGGATGCGTAGTGGTGCCTTGGGCAAACCTAACATAACCGAACATAACACTGCTCCATCTAATCAAGTGTTGCTCCAATGAGAACAGTGGCGTTCCCTTCGGTGCGCAGTGGCGTGCTGCTCGAATTTTATTGCTGCAATTGTGTCTCCCACCTCTCAAGCCTGTTTGTACATCATGCTTTTATTGCTGAGTTTAATAAATTGAAAGTGTTGGATATGGGCTAGCCATGGATGGCATAATGTTCATGCTGAATTTCGTGAAAATTGGGCAAGTGCTAGTTATTGTGCGAAGAAATGTGTGAGCAGTACGCATAGGGGATAAAACCAAGCAACTTCAAGTGAAAGCTGTGGCTGAGTCCCAGTGACGTATTCGAGTTAAGTGCAGAATGACAACGTGCGTGTACAGTCCTGTTCAAGTTTACAAAATGTTGAAATTTTAATGAACCTCAAGTATTTCTCATAAGACTAAAAGATTTTTAAAACTTTCGGAATTTGGAAACTACGCAAATATTGATGTAAGATTTGAGGCTTTCACGGCGGTGACTNGTACAGTCTTTTTGGCACATAAGAGAATCATATCAGCAGTTAAGAAGGTAGCGTGTGTTAGTGATAGGATGTCGTACATAATACTGAGAGGTCGCTGGCCTTATATTACTGTTCTAAATGTTCATGCGANTTATGGCTGTGTGTAAGTGCCTTCTACCACGTAAAAGGTTTGTGATTTGAAAAAGCCTGGATTTGTCCACACACAGAAATTTTGCTTTATACACGAGATTAGGTATTGTGAGTGGTGTTCTGTAGTCTTTGTGGTCTCAATTCAAGTATATTAGGAAGTCGAACACAAGGAAGGGAGTGATAACACTTAGTGTACAACAAACGACCATTTTTGCAACTCCTGTTCATGCGTGAAGAAATGTGAGAAGTTACATAGTTTGATGGAATCATATATATTAATGTTAATTTTGCCGTATTTATAGCGTTAAATATGCAATTTACAGTGCCGCCATATGAGACTAAGATGCTTTCACATTTCAGCTGGCTACGAGTATTTTGGTGTGTGGATGTAGCTTGACAAAACCGGAAGTAGTTTGGATTGGGAGCGGAAACTGCGGAGTCGATGTAGGAGAAACTATTGGTACAGGTCTGTATGCGTGTTTTTCGTGTCGACTGTGAAGGAAAATGCTTTGTATTTTCAATAAAGTTACTTCTATTGTTGATGTTTTTTTTTAATATTGTTCTAGTGTGAGGTCATTCCAGCAATGATGTAAGAGACCTCTGAGGACAGAAGTAATTAAATGACTGGCGATTTCCACTTGGATAAGCATTGTGAGTATTAATGGTTCACAGATTTTGATTGGTATATGTTGTTATTCACTATATTCAGAGATTAATTTAAAAATTGCTATATATTGGCAGGTTTTGTTGCGAAAAGATATGATGAAGCTTTGACAGCAGTAGACAAGAATTTTGGAAATTCATAATGGGAATTCAGATCTCGCTTTCCTTATTTTGTGCTCTTTTTTCATAAAAAAGTCAATATTTGCACTCCTGTATACATAATAGATTTTGTGTGTTATATTTCTTGTAGTTTGCAGTTGTTTCCTTTACAGTGGACGAAGCACGTTGAATTTGAGCTGAGGCCATTCCTACTTCCATGCACATTCCTAGGAGAGTACCCGTGATTGTACAGGATATTGTAAACAGTTATTCTCTGGAAGACAGAGAGCTTAACCGTTACTTGTCATCTGTTGCAACATGAGTACTGACTGTGTTTTGGGAAGTTACCACGAGTAGTGTCTCAACTTATGACTAACGTCTTCTAAATTTACATCAGTTGTTTCTTGGCTTCACCACAAGGATACATGTTTACTATAGTGATCAGTAATGCCTTTATAGGCAACTCTAGGAAACCTCGTATTTATATGGAAGCAGCGGTAGATGGATACTAATAATAATAATAATAATAATAATAATAATACAAGGAGGATGAGGTGGGCAGGTCATGTAGCACGAATGGGGGAGACGAGGAATGCGCGTAGGATATTGGTGGGAAAGCCAGAAGGAAAGAGACCACAGGGAATACCAAGGCGTAGGTGGGTGGACAATATTAGAATGGATCTTAGAGAGATAGGATGGGATGGGATGGATTGGATAAATCTGGCTCAGGATAGGGACCAGTGGAGGGCTCTTGTGCACACGGTGATGAACCTTCGGGTTCCATAAAATGCTGGAAAATTCTTGAGTAGCTGCAGAATTGGCGGCTCCTCAAGAAGGGCTCAGCTCCATGAGAAAGTAAGTAAGTAAGTAATAAAAATAAGATGATGATGACGATGATGATGGTGCTAAACATCCAGTGATGGAAAATGTAGAATCGATTTTAAGATATCATACTTACAAGAAACAAACTAGACTTGAAAATGATGATGCAGTTAAAGAACTTGCTACAGATCTACGTCATTTTAAATTGAGAATAATTATTGAACAGCCATGACGCATATTCGAATTTTGACATATATTTCTGTATATCTTAAGACGTTTGGAAGCAAGTTTGCTCACTTAAGTGGAGAATAGGGTGTCTGAAAATAAGGAATGATTGAAAACGTCGTGTAAACAGAGATGAGGTGTGTAGTAACAACCAATTAATTGAGTTTTGTCAAGGATACATTGCATGTTTTATCCAAAAAATACTCTACCCTTCTTTAACCTAATCTCTGAGTTCGCATTATGATGAATGCTCTTAATTTTTTTCGCTTAGTGGGGGGTGGAGTCCAACTGGATCCACTCGGCACGGCGGCCAGTGGTTGGCCTATTGTAGCCTGCTCCGGGTGATTATGATGGTGGAGAATTTGATGAAATGAAGATTGGCAGGGGAAACCGAAGTACTCGGAGGAAACCCGCCCCAGCGCCACTTAGTCCAACACAAATCCCACTTGACCAGACCCGGGATCGAACCCGGGCCGCCGCGGTGGGAAGCCAGCGACTAACCGCTTGAGGTATGGCGCGGCCCTTGCTTTTAATTTAGTCTTTGGATTTAAATTTTTTCCTAAATTTTTTGTTATCATTTCTTGTCAGGCAATGACCCCTTGCAGGGATATGCTGTCAGCTTTTACTTTTTCTTTAGCTAGTTGTCTTAATCGGCAATATCAGATGTTAGTAGAGGAAACTTTGCCACATTCACGGATTTTATCTTTTTTTCTCTGCGTCTCTGAGAATGCTCGTCTGTCGTGATGTCCCGATAACTTCTGTTGTCATCCGCTCCCTCATCTCTTCAACTTTTTGGCGAGTACAGGGATTGTCGGTGAGGCTAGTGTCACCCAAATCCCATCAGTTGCACATCACTACTCTGGTGTTTTTTGTGTTAACATCGAGTTTTGTTCTCTTATCAGTCAGGAGTTTAGGCTCTTTACATTAAAGAGCAGGGCTTGTGGCCTGGACCATCCTCTGTCGACTCTATGTCTGAGTTTTGTCAAATTCTGCCTGAATGCGTACGGGGGTGCGCAGTGGTCTGATGTCCTAATCTAACCTAATTCGATGTGACCCATTTCTACCTGAACGCTCAGGTGTATGCACGAATAAATTTAAGGATTCAGCCCTTGTCTCATTGAAAACTCACTACATTGCAAGTACAAAACCAATTGGGAATAATTACTATTTTATTGAAGCACGATCTTGTTCTAAGCAATTTTTTGAAGTTCGGGTTTTATCTGTTATGTAACACACATTACATTGATCAATGTGTTAATACTCTTTTAAGGACATATTCGATATTTATTCTGAAAATCGAAAGAAAAATATTAAAATTGCTTTCTTCTGGTATGTGACGCCGTATAGCCTGGCAAATATTTTTAGATATAATTATAAAAGACAAGTCCGTCCAATGTGACTATTTCAGTTTTCTCACTTGATGATTCACTAGCCTCACATGTTTCGATCCATTTGGATCATCTTCAGAGGCACCAAACAATTTTTAGAAACCACTATCACAACANGTACTTGGCAATACATGTGTATTTGATATGACAACTGTTGTGATAGTTGTTTCTAAAAAGTGTTTGGTGCCTCTGAAGATGATCCAAATGGATCGAAACATGTAAGGCTAGTGAATCATCAAGTGAGAAAACTGAAATAGTCACACTGGACGGACTTGTCTTTTATAATTGTAACTGTTAGTGTGACGGACCAAAAATGAAACAAATCTTTTGAAATTTGTTTCTTAGAATACCTTGAAAATGTAGACAGCATGTTCATCCATAACTTTGCAGATATATACAAGACTATGGCATCTAATTGCAGACTACAGTAATTTTATAATCACTACTGTGAGAACCTCATGTCACATAAATACACTTAGTGGGCAAAACTCAATTTTTATAATGCCAAAGTAGGTGGTACATGTAGTTACCATTACACTTGGATAGGTTGAAACAGGTTATGACTACTTTCAGCTCAGTCTTCAGAAATTTCATTTGCATCATTAATGCTGTAGTAAACGTACATCAGTAATCATCAGCGCAAACATACATTTGAGAGCAAAAGCCACGTAATATATGGGAGTTTATGACTTGTAGCCGGTTGTTGTCACTTAACGTTTTGGAGAACTGGCTGGAACTGGATCGCTTAGAGATTCGTCTGGGAGAGCAGAAAAATAAAATGGCTGTTATCAGTATATTTGTGCAGATATTATTAACTTTCCCACGGACGTCAGCGCTCCCCATGTTTTGCGATCTTTTCTCGTATCGCGGAATGCGAAGTCCAAAACTAACTCCACTGATTATTTGTGTAGCTTATGAAGCAGGCAAGAGAGACCTTGATTTCTGACTTTAAGTTTTTTTTTTAATTTCTTATTGATAACACCTAAATTAAATGTATATCCACAAATATCATTTACTATGAAAAATGTGGTGATAGACACGCGCCCGCTGTTGTGCCTATTGTGATGGACGATTCTTCATGGTTGCTTATTTTACAATGCTGTCAGGATCTAAACGATATAGCATTAAGTGGAGTGAAGATCGAAGAATAATAAAATTAGAATATATCGTTGTGATGTTGCCTGAATGGATGTACGCGTAATATCCCGGAATTTGCCTGAGTGGCTGAGAAAAACTCAGCCATAGAAAGCCGAGATTAACGGCAGTGGGGATCCGTTGCGCTGACCATGTGACACCCTCTATCCGCAAAAGTTTGCACTAACTTCGCTGACAAGCGGCGATCGCTCTGTCGATATAGTTCGCTTGCGGACTACAGGCCACGGAGTTAGTTAGTTAGTTAGACTGAGGAGAACCATTATAAGCCTGTCAGGATAACAGGTTTCCGGCCCCAGATGAGAACTGAGCGCCCCTGACTAAGTCTATAAGCTGCTGCAGCCCTAACCCATATGCTGTGTGGATTCCGTTGCAGGTCAGGGCACAAATAGACTTGTGGCGTTTTATTTTTGGTCTACATAACGACGCTGTCAGCATGACGAGAGCGTCGAGGGACCTGGAGGACACTGATTGTGGTCTCATCAGAATTACTATACCTCCATTTTCCTGGAGGGACTAAGGAAACTCGCGGATACAAAAGTCTACTCGCTACACCGCGATTACTTTGTGTCTCTGTTCATAATATCCTTCGATATGATATCCGAACTTGTGGGTTCTTTATTATTATTATTATTATTATTATTATTATTATTATTATTATTATTAGATGGGGTGGGTTTCCCCATGCACTTAGACCAGTTATTGGTCCATTGTGCGTCCCCCTTTAATTTCTACTATCGCCATACCCTACCGTTACTGGTGTGTGCTATCAGCCCCGTTCAGCCAACGAGGTCGGCCGTCGGTACCTGATATTTCCCCCATCTACCAGAGGCATTGGAAACTACGTGGGCGGGAAATTGTTGCCTAATTTTGCTCAGAGGTCTCCTAGAGACATGAGGATCTTTTACGTGCCGTAAATCTACGACACGGGACCCACGGCTTAAAATCCCTCCCGGAGGACTTGTTCCCTGAATTTTTCCGCCCTTAAAAATTCCACGACCTCCGCCGGGTTTGAACTCGCGTACCTTGAGTCATGAGGTGGGAACGTTACCCCTAGACTGCGGAGGCTAACTTGTGGGTTCTACTTTCTAGTTCCTTAGCAGGCAGGTCAAACGGTTAAGACAGAGATTCTGAGCCGGCGATAATTGTACCCCTGGAGGGGCATGAAGCCCCATAAGGGGATAGGGTAAATTAAAGCCAACCCCTTATACATTCATTCATTAGGGTAAATTAAAAATTTCCCATGGACTTCGTTACGGACCACACCATAAAGCCGTATGGACAGTGGAGCCAGCACTTCATC